CTGCTGTGTATCAGTCCAGACAAATGGGACGTCTTTTTATAAGAGTTCAGTCAGTGGCTTTGCGAGGTCCGCATAATGCTCTATGAACTGGCGTGAGTAATTACACACTCCCAGAAAACTCTGTAGTTCTTTGAGATTGGTGGGGACTTTGAGGTTGTCTAGGCCTTGGGTGCGAGTCAATTGTGGTTGTACTTCGTCCGGACCCACTAGGAGGCCAACGTAGTCCACCTTGGTTCTGCACCACTGGCACTTTGACAGTGAGATTTTAGCACCCGCAGTTGTTAGCTGATTTAGGACGTGGTCGATCTCAGCCAAATGAGTCCAGTGTTGGCTGCCTCAAAAGGATGTCGTCCACGTAGATCAGTGTCCCACGCTCGTGGGCATCTGGACATGCTTTGTTCAAAAAGATGTTGAACTCTGCAGGTGAGTTAGCGTAGCCAAAGGGACACCTGGTAAAGGTGTATTGTCGGCTGCCAAAAGTGAAAGCTAGTTTGTGTTGGTCCTCGGCGCGCACAGGGATGGTCCAAAAACCAGAGGCGACGTCGAGGGTAGAGAAGTACTTACCATCGGTGACCTTTGGCAGTTCCTGTTGGAGCTGAGTCATTGGCCACCTGGATAAGGGGACTTGTTTATTTAGCTTTCTGTAGTCTATGGTAAGTCTCCACTTACCATTTGGTTTTAAAACCGGCCATAAAGGCGCAGAGTAGGTGCTATTACATTGTCTGATTATACCTTTGACCAAAAGGTCATCAACGATCTCCTGGACAGGCTGATGTGCTGCCAGAGGGATCTTGTATTGTCTGACAAATGTTGGTGGTGCGTTGGGTGGGGTTGGGATGCTCACTGTGTGGAGTGAGGTCAACCCACCCCGTTGCTCATTGGTTGATTCAATCACTTGACCCGGAAATGCAGCTCGTTTTCATATAGAGCTTTCTCTGTTGTTTTAAAGTGTGAAAACGCTTTGAAATTGGTTCTGACCTCATGATCCATCTCTTAAAAGTCTAATCGCTAAAGCGACCGCTGAATCGAAAGTAAATCCGCCTATAAAATGTTGATTTTGATCCGTGTGGGCCGACGCTAATTCTAAGCTAACGGCTAAAGACCGGATGTCACCAAAGCCACAGGAATCACTACATATATATGTGTATGTGTATATATGTATGTATGTATGTATGTATGTGTATATATGTATGTATGTATGTATGTATGTGTATATATGTATTTATGTATGTGTATATATGTATGTATGTATGTGTATATGTGTATGTATGTATGTATGTGTATGTATGTATGTATGTATGTATGTATGTATGTATGTGTATATATGTGTATGTGTATATATGTATGTATGTGTATATATGTATGTGTATATATGTGTATATGTGTATTTGTATATATGTGTATATGTGTATGTGTATTTGTGTATGTATATATATATATATATGTATGTGTATATGTGTGTGTATATATATGTATGTGTATATGTGTGTATAAATATATATGTATGTGTGTATATATGTATGTATATGTGTATATATATATAAAAATAAGAAATGATCACATATTGATGTTAGTTGGAAACAAAGTGAATTGGTTCTAACATTTTGCTTGATAATAATATACACAAAAAGTTAATGAATGTATTGTTCTTATGTCTTTATTCATTTATGCTGTATGTCCAAACTTTGTTTTTGCATTGCTTTCTTTTTGTATTTTTTTTTTCTGGGTCCACAAATGTCATCAAAGGAGACAGATGATGCAGTAGATAACCCAGAGTTATCTTTCCATAACTGTGGCTCTGAAGAGAATGATGTTGAAGTGACCTCTACAGGTCACTTCTGTCCTGAAGACACACGTGGTGACGCTGCACCTTGGGAGAAGTGTTATGAGAAACTCTGGGTAGAAGTGGAAAAAAGGGAAGTCAAATCAACATTTAAAAATGTTGCTGGTGAGTTAAAAGAGAAGTTTGGTGTACTTTTCAAATCAAGACAACTTGTGGAAGACTCAAGAGAGGAAGCTGCACCTGCAGCCACATCTGCAGAAGAAGATTCAAGTGATGAAGAGGGAGAGGGTATTGTTGGACCTGCAGCCAGAGCAAGAAGCACCATTCTTCTCTCCATTCCTGAACAGAGAGAGTCTGAACAGGAAGACTCTTCAGCAGAGTCACTTGATGACTCTCTGTGTGAGGAGAAGATGCAGGACTCTGAGCGTCCTGCTCATGACAACTTCCATCATGACCCAGATCTAGTCAACACTGATGTTCTGAGTTCTGCTTCACCACAGCTCAACAAAGGACACAAGGGAAATGTAAAGAGCATTAATCATGACACCAAAGCTTTTTCTGGTGATAGTGGTATGCCCATGCATTTTGATTACCAGGATTCATTGTTGAAAGAGACCAAGCAGAATGTTTTTAATGATCCACCCAGTGATCTGAATGAAACTGACAAAAACCATGTGGGTTCAAGAGATGAGCATGAGGAGTTTCCCATGTCTCTGCTGTCCTCACAACTCAGACAACCAGATGTCTCCAAAGAGCTGGATGGGGACAGGAAAAGGTTGACCCTTGAGGTAGGGATGCCGAGGGTTTTATTCCTTGATTTTTAAAAAGGGGCCCTTCACAGAGGACTATCATCTCTTTGAGCTCCTTCCTGATTTATTATCTTTCTCCTTTCATACATAACCTTAATTTTCTTATCTTCACATTTACTGTATGTCAAGAAAGTCCAAAATGACATTTTCTTTTGGGAGTTTTTAACACAAACTTTTTAAGTCCATGTTTTATTGTTCATAGAACCAACTTCACCTTACGTCATTACACAAATCTGCTGCTATCTCATTTAGTTTTTCTTTCAGCACATTTCTGTTGTGTCCACAAAGTCTGTGTAAAATTGGGTACAAATATTTAAGACTATTAAAAAGCTGAGATTCTGGTGGTTTAATTGATATAAATCTGGTTCATAATTGGTGAGCAAAGTGTTTGGGATAAATGCCAAGAACCAAAACAAAAAGACAAGATGATCTCCTTGGAGATTCCATATTTTTATTAAAAACAGGGTCTTGACTCACAAGTCACTGCAAATCAGTTTCTCAAAACTTATAGGCCAGTTCAAAATGTCGTCATTCTTCTTTCACAGATTATTGTCACGTCATTTCACATCATTTTCTGACTGACCTAAAGACTGTTTGTCTCAAACCACAGTAGCCGACCAGAGTCCATGTTGCACAAAAGTCTTCTGCACTTTATACAAAAGCTAACTTTAAATAAAGTTGTTTACAACTTCTAGATCAAAAACCAGTGAAATTCTTTATGTAATATAAATGGTTAGCTTTAAAAAAAAAGACCACAATTAAGCTTAAAATCTACATGTTTCTGAAATACAGTAGTCTCTCGTTTATCTCGAGGGTTTGGGACCCCACCCCCCACCTCTTGCGATACGTGAAAAACCACAAAGTATGGATACAGTAGTCCAAGTTCAGTTCAAGTTCAGTAAACTTTGTCATGACATGTGCCAGGCTGTAATCACACTCACCTCCTGTTACTCCCAACCTCCCTCCTTTAATAAACAATTTAAATTTAAATACGGTAATATTTTAAATAAACAATCCATGCAGCATGGATGCATGCAGTATTTAAATTGTAGAGAATAGAAGTGCAGCAGGACATCACAGGGATGTCACACAGCTTCAGCTCTGCAGCACGGAGCAGAACTGTACTTCTTGATCAAGTACACTGAAACAACTGAACATAGAAGTTCTAAAATAATTCAAAATAAATTTTAACACATATTGTGTGATTATGACGATTTTACAATGTGACATACTTTGAATATTAAGTTGGAAGACAAAAGTCAATCGGTGCATCTGGACAGCAAAGGGTTAACCCTTCACACAGCTGCGGCAGCAGGAGAAATGTGGGCGTGGCAGAGAAGGGGATCAGCTGATCAGCTGCAGGAGGGAGCTTTCCCCTGCACTTGTGGGCTGCACACATGTTGCAAAATCATTTGAATTTATTTTAAATTAACAACCCATGTCTCATCCATCAATGAACCAATTGTGTCGTGTCTAGTTTTATTTTGAAAAACCGCGATCTAGCGAATCTGTGTTAAACAAACTGCAAAGTAGTGAGGGTCTACTGTAACTCAATTTTGTTTGTATATGTGGAGATATTTTAGACAAATTGTTTCATACGAGGTAGAGTTAAAAGGATACAAAGTGAAATATTTGGTTTATTCTGCAGTACTTTTTAGTACTAAAATTACACTTTTTAAAAATTTGTCAAATGACGTAGTAGTTTTAGATCATGAAGTTCTCTTGTGTACCCCTTTACAGAGACTTGTGTTTTATGATACATAGACTTTGCATGTGCTTTTATTTTTAAATAGTTTGTGTAAAAGCTGAGTAAGTAAAAGCCTTCTTTGGTCCATGACAAGAAGTGCTGATATAGTGTTTTCTTTTCTTTTTCTATTGGAATGGTTTGTTTGTTTGTGTGTTGTTTTGTCATTTTAAAGCTGTGGTATTCAGTGGGGTCTTTGGGTTTTAGTGTTCAGTGTCATCTAATTCTCTGCACATTTAATTAGCAAAGAGAATAATAACTAATGTCTGTTAAAGTCATGAGGGACGTGATACAAATGAGAACTTACAAATGATAAAGAAACACTTGTGGATGTAATGTCTATTTTAAAATTGAATCTGTTTTAGAACATTGTTTCTTCTTTGTCTCTTTACCAGTCAGTTTCTCAAGGTAATCACTGAAAATGCAGCTGGTATTTTATTACCTTCCTTACAAGCTAAGACTTTCAGTAACTAATATTGTAAAATGGGTTCCAGAGAATAACACTAAGGTGTCAGGTCTCCAGCGGAGGGGTGACATTAAGTTATGTATGACAGTGTGGACAAACACAGCTTTAAAATGCAATCTTGAAGGATGGCTTGGATGTATCTCAAGTTGGATCAAAAATGTCCAGTTTATAAATGCTACATTTACTCTTTTCTGTCAGGTTGGCCAAGAAATGGCAAACACTGAAACGAGGGATCAGAAACCAAGTTCTTTGGATGGTTATGGATCAGTAGTGGAAGAAGTTGGTTGTATGAAAGTTGGATCAGGTTGTCTGTTAAATAAACCTGCAGGGATTCATCAGGAAAAGCTGTCTGTTGCTCAAAGGTATGTTTGGCTTCGTACATTTACAGCCTAATTTTTATTCTTTTCAGAGTAAATATTTTTTGGCAATTTGACTAGCTCTTATTACACCTCAAATTATATATTATAAACAACACATTTGTGTTACTAGCTAATGAAAACGTTATAATATTGTTTTTGTAATTTGATTTTGTCATCAAAGATGCTTCTAGAAGAGAAAACATTGGTTACGTACTGTAACCCCAGATTCTATGAGTATAGGCGTAGCCCTTTAAGGCTGTCGCTTGTGGGTTTTATCTCGTCACGCAAAGCGTCGCACTGAAAAATTTAGTCCACGCCCACCTGTTGTGTGGGCCCCACCTGGTCCGTATAAATTACGTTGAGCGTGTAATCGGCTCCCAAATAGCTTTTTCTTCAGCCATTGTGGAGCCAGTGAGGCCCAGAGCTTAAAGGGCTACACCTATACTCATAGAATCTGGGGTTACAGTACGTAACCAACGTTCTATTTCGTATAGGCTTCGCCCTATACGCTTGTGGGTTAAGGGCGAAGCGGGATGTGGTCTTCGCCTCACTGGGTCCATTCGAACACCGTATGAAGTGCTCGCTTGTACAAAACAACATTTTATCCCTCAGCCTTCCATGTGCGTAAATACGTGCTGCGTAATTACGTGCACCATGTACAGGCGCGCGCTGCGTAATTTACGCATTCCGTGTACATGGGCGCCCGAAGAGAAAAGTTCTCGACAGGAAAAAGGGTAGAGGCTGAAAAAACAGTGAACAGATTCAAAATAAATGAACTGATTAGTAATCAAATGAACTGATTGGTAACAGTATTCATGAACTGATTAGTGACATTAGAACAAAAACCAACAGTCACAAACTTGTGATTGATAACAAATATCTCGCACTGTAAGTACATGCAGTCAGATGTGAGTTTAAAATGAAGTTCCACGAAAAACAATGAAATTCATTCCGTTAATACATCGAGGACAGAATGCGTCATGGAGCGAGCCACCATATCACGCAGATAGAAGCGAATAAATGAGCAGAGTGTCTCTATAATGCACAAACAAATGTTGAGTCTGACTCAGTGTGGCCGTGCGTGCTGCGTAACAAGCCAACGCATGCACAGGGTAGAGAAGATGAAAAAATGCTTCTTCTTCTGATTTGTGGGGAGGAGGGAGAAAAACCCTCCAACGTTATCATTCTCGATTTAAATGAGCTTGTGATGTTTTAGGCATAAACGCTGGGTTAGGTCTCGGATCAGCTGAAACTGCCATCATCTTGAAAACCTGAGGCATGACGGAGCAGCAGAGAGAGCAGATAAATCACTCACTCTCTTTGCAGATGTCAAAGCCAACAGCAGGACTGTTTTGAATGACAAGAATTTAATCGGAAAAACTGCTCTGTCACCGAAGCCTTCGTGACAGGAAGAGATGGCTGCAGCATATGTTTTAATTGTGCTGAACGCCAGATTTCTGTCCATCGGCTGCTGCAGAAAGGACGGCACGCCACCTAGTGGACATGAGATGGCCCCTACACCTTTTCCCGTACACCAGCGTTGAAAAACTGTCCACTTTGATGTGTACAGCGCTGTGGCGGAGGCAGCGTGCGGATCCTGGATGGTGCGCACTACTTCTTGAGAGAGACCCGTCTTCTCTAAGTGGTTCCGCTCAACGGCCAGACCCAAAGATGCTGGCCTATTTCTGGGTGGCTCCTGATCGCTCCTCCTGCCTGGAGGAGAGCATTGTCCCTCCATGGCAGTTTCCACAGATGACCCAATAATAGACGTCGCAGGATTGGAAACCACGGGGCGGTCACGCGCTCGGGGGCTATCAGAATGGCAGACAGTTCTTCCTCCTGAACTCGGCTCAGAAACCGTGATATTAGAGGGACTGGGGGAAAAGCGTAAAGGAGCATTTCGGGACACGGGCTGTGAGCAAACGCGCCCACTCCTAACGGTGGATCGTCCCGTGGGCTCAGTGAGAACCATAGTTGGCACTGGGCGTTCTACCATGTGGCAAATAGGTCCACTTCTGCTCTGCCAAATTTCTTCCAGATCTGAGAAATCAGCTTGGGATGGAGGCTTCAGTCCCCGTGGCGCGGACCGTCTCTGGACATTATGTCCGTTCCTCTGTTCAGAACACTGGGGATGTACTGCTCTGATGGAGAGCAGGTTTTCGTGCCCAACACAGCAGCTGTCTCGCAATGTGTAACATTTGGGCTGAGCGCACGCCCCCCTGATGGTTTTTGTAAGCTGCAGTCACCTTGTTATCTGTGTGGATCAAAACATGTTGATTTTGCAGAAAGAGAGCAAAATGTTGAATCCCATTCAAAATCGTGCGACATTCCAAAACATTTATGTGAGCTGATGTGTGAGCTGGCCACAGCGCCCCCACCGCTCGTGACAGGCACGTTCCTCCCCAACGTGACAGGGACGCGTCTGTGAAAACTGAGACGTGTGACGTAGGTCTGCTGACAGGGACTCCCTCCGACAGCATGAGAGGATTTCCCCAATGTTTCAGGTCAGTTCCCATAGAGGGGGGCACAGAAATCCTCTGCCTCTTCTGCCTTACGGGGTCTATGCGCAGACGAGCGAACCATCTCTGGAGACGTAAATGGAATGTACTTATATAGCGCCTTTCTATCTTATTGAGACACTCAAAGCGCTTTACACTACAATCTGTGTCCTCATTTACCCATTCATACAGCACTCTACTAGATCTCTACAAAGCTAATTGAACAAATCATTCTAAAGAGACTAATCAGTGATTTATCACATTCATACACTGATGGGACACACATCGGAGGCAACAAGTGGTTCAGTGTCTTGCCCAGGGACACTTCAGCATGTGACTGGTGTGGGGTTCGAACCCCCAACTCTTGCATTGGAGGACGACTGCTCTAACCACTCAGCTACAGCCACCCCGTTCACGTCTCATGTGAAGTAGGCCCAGCAGGACCACCGCATGAGCTGACGACATTGTTCCTAACAGTTTCATGATGGAGACAGCTGTTACTACTCTGCCGGGTTTTACGTGGCGGAGCTGTTTTTTTTAGAGTTTCGGCTCTCGTTTGTGATAAACGGGCCCTCATAGGGACAGAGTTTAGCTCCACTCCCAGATAAACGATCATCTGGGCCGGGGGAATCGAGCTCTTCTCCCAGTTTATGGCGAAGCCGAGATTTAACAGGTGTGACGTCAGCGCTTTGGTTTGCGCCGCTGCTTCCTGCCTGTATCGGGTCAGCAACAGCAGATCGTCCAGATAAAACAGAATTCTCATCCCTGCTCTGTGTAGCGGCTGGAGGGCCGTCTCCATGCATTTTGAAAACATGCGTGGTGCGAGGGAGTAACCGAACGGAAGTCTGTTGTATTGGTACTGGATCCCTTGGAAGGAGAAGCGCAGGAACTTTCTGTGCTTTGGAATGATTGGAATGTGAAAATAAGCGTCTTTGAGATTGATGGAGGTAAACCAGTCGTTCTGGTGAATGTTGTTCAACAGCTGTCTGGTTGTCAACACGTGAAACTGTCTCTCCAAAATCGACTTGTTGAAAACAGATAAATCTAAGATGGGTCTCATCCCTCCGGTCTGTTTCGGAACCAGGAAGTATCGTGAATAAAACCCTATATTTTCCTCTTCTTTGGGAACCCTGGAAATTACATTTTTTTACCAGTAGTTTCTGAACTTCTGCATGAAGGGATGAGATCTGTTCTGAAGATGACAGAACCGTCTCTATAATCCCTCTGACCGGTGGGGGTTGAGCTGCGAATTGCAGCGTGTAACCCTTGCTGATAAGATGGTTCATCCAGTTGTTCAGGGAGCACGCTCGCTGTCACTCCGCATAACGCTCTGGGAGGGGGCACGCGTTTTTGTGTTGTCATGTCTTTTACAGACGTCAGCCAAGTCAAAGCCTCTGTGCCACTGCCGGGCTGCGGGCTCACATCAGAACTGATGTGAGCTGACGTGCGCTGAGGGGAGGCATGCGCGCCCTCAGCAATGCGACGTTGCTTGGGTGGGGGTTGCCGCGGGGACACACGTTTGTCTCCGCTGCAGTCAGAAGGGGCAGAACACACCCTGGGCTGAGATCGAGATTTTCTCCTGGACTCGGTCTGCCGAAAAAATTCATTTTTTGCTGCTATGTCCAGCGGGCGTTGTGTGTGTTTTCTTGAGCTGCGGTGACTTTTTAAAAACCTGTCTGAGGACGCCGGCTTGTTTTGTATGGAGAATGTGTGCAGAAAAGCCGCTGTGAGATCATTCGAACTGACAGTCTGAAATCAGACACTTTATTCACTGAATGATGTTTTCGTTTTATTTCAAAACTCAAGTCATCATTATGCACACACACATCCTCCGCAAGGAGTCATTTCTTAAATCTTCTTCCCCGTGAACCCTGCGGCTGGTTGTTCTAGGGCGGCACCTGTTGGTGGTCTCTGGGGAGATGCTGAGCCGCTGGTGTCCAGGATGAGAAGGGCTGTTCTCTGGCGGGAGGGGCCGGCAGCGGAGCGGGGCGGGAGGATGCTGCTGCAGCTGTGGAGCGTCTCTGCTGCTGCCTCTGACCACGACGATCCCTCCAGCGGGTGGGGGGGCGTGAGGAGGAGTGCGGCTTCATCAGTTGGCGCACAGTCTCCGACCTCCTCTGACTTTTTCGATTTTTCGAGCATGGCCTTGAAATTGGCTCCGGACAGCGCGTCAGTCGTGATGGGGCCCTCCAGCAGGGAGGGGGGGTGTCGAAGCCAGGTGGACCGCTGGATCATTGTCATCCAGGCGGCGATGCGAGACAGGCAGACAGCAGAGGAGGCGCACAGGTTGAAGATGATGTCATATGTCTTGCAGAGTGAGCTCTTTGTCTCCTCAGGCAGGTCTGTTTCCTCCAGCCTCTTTGAGATGCTGTAGGCCAGCAGAGCGACATTGTTGTTCGCTGCGGCCGCCTGGAACGCACACTGGTGAGCTCGGTTGGAGAGTGATGTCACCGTCAGGTCATGCTTCCCCCGAGGAACTGGATGCTGGTCCAACCTGGACACTTTTGCTCCGAGAGTTTCCGCCAGGCTTGGCTCCGGGGGGGGGTACTGAGGAAAAGTTCTGCTCAGTAAACCCCTCTACTCTAGTGATGATGGGCGCGAAGGTGGAGACGGGCGCTCTCAATTTACCAGGTTCGGCTGCAGCCTTGTTCCAGTATGACGTTACTGCTGAGAAACGAGGCCAGATCGGGTCAGGGCGGCAAGCCAGGGTAGAGCCAAACCTTCCCGCTAGATCCTCCGATCTTGGCGGGGGGAGGAGAGGGACGGAAAGTCCCTTCGTGTCAGCCACTTCCTGGATTATGCCAAGCAGCTCCGAGAGGAGGGCACCGACGGCTGAGAGCGGTGTGGTCACTGATGCCGAAAGGCCCGGGAGGGGTGAGCATCCGCTCGGCCCCTCCCGTTCTAACACTACGCTCTCCGGGAGGGAATGAGCAGCGGGGCTGCTGCTGACGTTGCCTGTCCCAGAGGAACCATCCGATTCGCTCCGAGACCCTGCGTAAAAAAAATCTATGGCGTCATCCAGCGAGCAGTCCCCCGCAACGGAGAGGCACTCCTCGATGTTAGCCTTAAACAAGGCTGCTCGCCTCTGCCTCTCCTCAGGGGGAAGGAGGTCACAGAGGCAGCAGGAGGAGTCAAGGTCGGCGTGGCGGGGACCTAGGCATCCTTCGCAGGTGTCGTGCCGGTCGAAGCTCAGCATGTAGCCGGTCTTGCAGGACGGGCACAGGCAGATGGTGTTGGTGTTGGACATCGCGTTGTTTGAAGATCAGTGCTAGTTGCTTGCTGAAGAAAAATGGGAGCCGATTACCCGCTCTCAACATAATTTAAACGGACCGAGTGGGGCCCACACGACAGGTGAACGTGGACTAAATTTTTCAGTGCGACGCTTTGCGTGACGGGATAAAACCCACAAGCGACAGCCTTAAAGGGCGAAGCCTATACAAAATAGATCTTAAGTCTATACTTTTTGGTGCATTTGAATCAGATCTTCTACATTACAAGTTAATAGGCTTAAGGAGTGTCCAATTCTGGTCCTCACTGACCTGCAAGATTTATTTGTTTCTCTGCTACAATACACCTGATTCAAATGGTTTAACTCCCTCCTCAGCAAGTCATTAAGTTTTACAAATCTTGTAAGTCACCAGTTCATTTAAATCAGGTGTTTTAAAGCTGGAAAACATCTAAGTCCTGCAGGACAGTGGCCCCAAATTCAATTCAATTCAGTTTATTTATATAGCGCCAAATCACAACAAAGTTGTCTCAGGGCACTTTACAGGAACATTCACATACATAAAAGCCAATTAGTAAAGTTCTCTATCTAAGGAGGCCAGCAGACAAGTTGAATCTTGGCTTTGTTGCAGTCTCCCATCCTGACCACAGTTTGACACTTGTTACATTTCCTTGAGTTACTGTCAGAGTTATTGCTCTTCATAGCACCAACAGAGCTCCTGTTCAGTTGCATCTCCTAGTCCAGCAGAGCTGCAAGAGCAGGAAGCAAGAGAGGCAGCAAGTGGTCCGTGGGGCCCGGCCCAGCAGAGTCCCTCAGACCAACACACATGTTATTGGAGACCCTCTCACTGTGTTTGACGATAGCTCTTTAAGTGAAGTGGCGGATGATGAAGACAGGTATATATGCAGTATGCCATGTTTAAATTATAAGTTTATTTCTCTTACTAACCCAGTTCGACATTATTAACTTGAACCCAAAGTGTATTACACAAGCACTGAGTTGGTTAATGGAGAGAAGATTCAGCCTGGAGGAATTATGACTCTCTGTTTCGAATTGACTAAAACACAAAACCTTTTTTTTTACTTGTACTCTTAGATGTATACATTTGTGCCTGAATGATTAACCTACAGAAAATATGCATATGCATTGGATAAACAAGTAAAAGTACTAAAGTTAAGTACAACAAATTTGTTTCTGTCTTACTGGTTTATGTGAACACAGACTAGTAAGTAAAATTTACTATATATATCAGAACAGAAATACACTCGGTGTTCGGTCACAATTTAGCAAGACAGCACTCTGCTGGTGCTGGGTGAAATTAGGATGGAATTTCTTTTCTTACTTACAAACCAGATTCCAAAAAAGTTGGGACACTAAACAAATTGTGAATAAAAACTAAATGCAATGATGTGGAGATGGCAAATGTCAATATTTTATTCATAATATAACATAGATGACAGATCAAAAGTTTAATCTGAGTAAATGTAACATTTTAAAGGAAAAATATGTTGATTCAAAATTTCACAGTGTCAACAAATCCAAAAAAAGTTGGGACAAGTAGCAATAATTGCGAATTGCGCCGCTCAAGGTGGCTGCATGTTGGAGCAGCTCTGTTACTTTCATTCAGAGATGTTGCTTTTAGAAACTTTAATTCCTCTTTTTCTGGATGTAAATCACTTTTTTGGATGATTGTTTCCTCTGGTATCAGATGCTGTGTAGCTGGAAGTATTTTTACTGAAACTTTTTTAGTTTTGGACATTTGTTATGATGCGTAACCATGGCAACAAGGCAGTTTTCTACAACCAGCAGCTGATTAACATCTCAAAAGCTCAACTAATATCTCAAATACAGCTCCAAATCTCAAATGAGTTGAAAAGGATGTTCTGTGGATGCATTCTCATTTACCTGCCAGCTGTACTTGAGTGTCTGACCACTGAGATCCTGGAACTAGCAGGAAACACGGCTCATGACAGTGGAAGGACATGATCGTCCCTCGGCACCTGCAGTTGGCTGTCCACAGTGATGAGGAGCTCGGCAGACTGCTGGGAGGAGTGGCCATCGCTCTGGGAGGAGTTCTGCTCTTCATTCGTGCGGTCCTACAGCTCGGGGGAACCGAGAGGCCAGCCAAGTCTGGGTGGACGGATCGGACGGCATCTGCAGCCAGTTTCTTAGGATCCACTGTGGGATGGACCTTTACAAGAGATCCTTCCTGTCTACAGCCATCAGTATCTATAACATCTCTTAATGAAATGAGGATAACGAGTTACTACAATAAATAATTTCCCTCTGGGATTAATAAAGTATTTTTGAATTTGAATTGAATAAGTGGCTGGCAAAAGGAAATTGAGCATATAACGAACAGCTGGAATACCAATTAACACTAATTAGGTCAATTGACAACATGATTGGGTATAAAAAGAGCTTCTCAGAGTGTCAGTGTCTCTCAGAAGCCAAGATGGTAAGAGGATCACCAATTCCACCATTGTTGCGCAGAAAGATTCAGATAATCTGGAACAATGGCTGTGCATAAAGGTCAAGGCCGTCAAACTCTACTGGATGCTCGTGATCTCCGGGCCCTTAAACGTCACTACACCTGAAACAGGAATGCCACTGTCAAGGAAATAATAGAATGGGCTCAGGAATACTTCCAGAAAGCATTGTCAGTGAACACAATCCACCGTGCCATCTGCCGTTGCCAGCTGAAACTCTACAGTGCAAAGAGGCAGCCATTTCTAAGCAACTTCCACAAGCTCAGACATTTGCACTGGGCCAGGGGTCATTTAAAATGGAGTGTGGCAAAATGGAAGACTGTTCTGTGGTCAGATGAGTCACGATTTGAAGTTCTTTATGGAACACTGGGACGCCATGTCATCCAGACCAGAGAGGACAAGGATAGCCCAAGTTGTTATCAACGCTCCGTTCAGAAGCCTGCATCACTGATGGTATGGGGTTGCATGAGAGCTTGTGGCATGGGCAGCTTGCATGTTTGGAAAGGCACCATTAATGCAGAGAACTATGTTCAGGTTCTAGAACAACATATGCTCCCATCTAGACGTCATCTCTTTCAGGGAAGACCCTGCATTTTTCAACACGATAATGCCAGACACATTCTGCAGCAATCACAACATCATGGCTACGTAGGAGAAGGATCCGGGTACTGAAATGGCCAGCCTGCAGTCCAGATCTTTCACCTATAGAGAACATTTGGCGCATCATAAAAAGGAAGGTGTGACAAAGAAGGCCCAAGATGATTGAACAGTTAGAGGCCTGTATTAGACATGAATGGGAGAGCATCCCTATTTCTAAACTTGAGAAACTGGTCTCCTCTGTCCCCAGACGTCTGTTGAGTGTTGTAAGAAGAAGGGGGGATGCCACACAATGGTAAAAATGGACTTGTCCCAACTTTTTGGGGATTTGTTGATGCCATGAAACTTGGAAACAACAGATTTTTCCCTTAAAATGATACATTCTCTCAGTTTAAACTTTTGATCTGTGATTTGTGTTCTATTCTGAATAAAATATTAGATGTTGGCACCTCCACATCATTGCATTCAGTTTTTATTCACTATTTGTTTAGTGTCCCAACTTTTTTGGAATCCCGTTTGTAAATTATTTTCCCTATGAGAGTTGCATGTTTGGCTTCAAGTTCTCAATAATATAAGTGTATACTGCATTATACCGTTACACTTACAACTGATCATTTATCTGCAGCTGATGCACAATCATCAATTAGATATATACATTTTTTCTTGTTTTTGTTATAATCAGGTTGACAACTGCTGCACTACAGAAAAACAAGGTAAATACAAACACTGTATTGTATCTGGATGGACTGATAGAAGTTGGAGTACTTGAAACAAAATAGGTCACATTTTGTTTACACTTTCAGAATTCTGAAGAAATGAACTGGGAAGAAGATTTTGATGAACTCACGCAGTCCTCAGACACTGCCACAGATGACACAGACTCACCCATTTCTGGCTACCGTCATGCATCCCTTCTTATTCAGAAGATGGACTCATCAACTTGGGGTATTGTTACGTTTGTACTAGTGCCTGACCGTTATGGAAATTTTGGCTATAGCTGATGCCTATATTGGGAGGGGAGGGTTAATGCTGATAACTGATATAATGGCTGAAAATGTTTTAGTTTTGTCCACCCCCAAGAATCTAAGTAAACAGTGAGTGGAGCGGGGCTTGTTTATTTAACGTAGCTGTTAGCAACCATGAATCTAAGCTAATCAGATCCATGCTGTACAATTTAAAGTCAACTTTATTGTCGTTTCCACCACATGTGGTACATGAGGTGGAACGAAATTATATACACAGGGTCCCAGTTACACCCAAAAGTATAAAATGTCAGCCATCCGACCACTGTGCCCTTTTCGTTTTTTTTTATTTTTTCATTTAATCTTATTTAAACAGGTTAGTCCCACTGAGCCATGAGGACTCATTTACAAGAGACACCTGGATTTTAACAAAGAGTGATGACAACAGTGGATAACAACAACAACAATAGATATTCACAAATGATTCATATAATATTTTTTTTTTTTTCTAACATTTGAAAATGGAATAGGTCTCTGGTTCAAATCCCGGTCCGGAGGCCTTTCTGGGTGGAGTTTGTATGTCCTCTCTGTGCATGCGTGGGTTTTCTCCGGGTGCTCCGGTTTCCTCCCACAGACCAGAAACATGAATGTTAGGCTGATTGGTAACTCTAAATTGTCCCTAGGTGTGAGTGAGAGAGTGAATGGTTGTTTGTCTCGTTTGTCTCTATGTCCCTGTGATGGACTGGAGACCTGTCCAGGGTGTACCCCGCCCCTCGCACAGTGATTGCTGGACATGGTCACCAGCGATCCCCGTGACTCAAAATGGAAGAAGCGGGTAAAAGATAATGGATGGATGAAAATGGAATGATAATTAAAAGGATAAAGAAATGTAGCGAAAAAGCAGCTAGACTACGAGGTGATGTGGAAAACTAAAAACTTTTATTCCCAGGTAGAGAGAAGACGCACTATGACTCAGTAAAACTGAGAAGAATAAAGTTTTTACCATTTAATTTAGATAAGGCAGGAAAAGTTACAGGTTTTCGGTGTTGAAGCTTCGGTCCGAACCGTCATGATGGGGATCTCGATGACAGAAGCCCCAAACTCAGGGAGTACCTCAGCTTTTCTTGGCCCTAGACTCCACCCTGGACAATGGGTGGAGTACAACCTGAGTGCATCAATGGGATGGCTATGTGTAATGGAATGGACTGTACTTATATAGAGCATTTCTATCTTATCGAGATACTCAAAGCGCTTTACAATACCATCTGTGCCTCATTGACCCATTCATACAGCACTCTACATCTCTACAAAGCTAATTGAACAAATCATTCTAAAGAGACTAATCAGAGCTTTATCACATTCATACACTGATGGGACACACATCAGAGGCAATGAGGGGTTCAGTGTCTTGCCCAGGGACACTTCAGCATGTGACTGCTGGTGGATTTGAACCCCCAACTCTTGCATTGGAGGACGACTGCTCTAACCCCTCAGCCACAGCCGCTCTAGAGTAGCCACGCCCGTCTAGTGTAGACCATACTAGTCATAACTGGTTTAACTGATGATAACAGTGGGTGTAGTGAAACTATTTAAAATGTGCGTGTGTGAGCAATAAAAGAAAAAAACAACTCCATATTAGGGATTGGATCCAGGACATCTCATCCTTGAACAGATATACCCAGCCGTGTCCGATCAGAGACAGAACCAAAGTCACTTTCTGAGCGGGCAAGGCAAGGCCGTACCAGGTTCAACTGGAGGACATATTTAACAAAAAAATAAAGTATAAAAAGAAACGGTAAATAAGGATCAAGATATACACTAAGATATACGCTAAACAAACACCAAACAGTATGCTAAAAGATCTAAAATACAGTATATGCTAAACACTAATGATGTATAAATTAGGGATGGGACCGATCCGGTATTGGGCTCTGGTACCAGCATAATTTACGTATTGGATTTTTCCGATCCAACCTGCAGAGATTTCCGATCTATGATGCATGTCTGTGTCTGCTGAAACGGTGTCCACATGTGACTCCTTGCCTGCTGCTCTGCACGTTGGCTTCAAACTAGGGAATGGATTTCCTGAACGGAGGCGTGTGTCATGAACCCAGAGTAATAAGACCCGCCTCACATTCAGGAAATCCATTTCATAGTTTGCAGCCAGCTACAACGTGAGGGCTGAGTTAGCAGCACTGTGGCTAACAGCTAACAAACTTTTCATCTAAATATGTCCGCTGTGTGGAAGTATTTTACACTAGAAACACCACAAAACAAGACAGCAACATGCAATGTCTGCAGAGCCATATCGCCACATTAAACCGCTGTAAAGTTAGTTTTACGTTGGACATTCGAGCTCCGGGGCTTCAGTGGGGTGCTGCTCTTTGCTCAACCCGAAACGGCCAACTCGACCCCTTTAAAACTAGGAATAAAAAAAAAAAACATGTTTTGTGTTAGCAGAATTTAATTCTAACTTTAAAACTTATCCAACATTAATACAACTTAATTCAAGTTTCCGTTTTGGACAGGCATGCATATATTTGTACAAATTGTACTTGAGAGGAGATTATTACAGCCTCATATAAAATCAATGATGATCATGATATCGGAACTGGTATCGCACGATACTCAGATTCAGGTATCGGGATCGGATCGGAAGTAAAAAAAAAACATAGTGGATCAGTGCATCCCTACAAAAAAACGTTGGTTATGCACTGTAACCCCAGATTCTATGAGTATAGTCAGAGTCAGAGTTTCTTTATTGTCATTCGCACCTCATGTGGTACATGTGGTGGAGCTAAATTATGTACACAAGGTCCCAGTTACATCCAACAATAAAATGTATAAGAAAAACAGTAATAACATCTAAGATATGAACTAAGAAAAACATCAACTAAATATACACTAAGCACTCATAACATAAAAAACATTGAACATCAGCACAAACATGAACATGAGTCTGTGAGCGGATGTGCACGCATGCACATCCCTTTAAGGCTAATGCTAGTGGGTTTATCCCTTTGCGCGCAACGCAGCACTGAAAACTTTAGTTCGCGCCCACTGGCTGTGTGGGCCCCACCCCCGGTCCGTATAAATTATGGTGAGACCGGGCAATAGACCTTTTTCACTTCCTGTTATTGCGAGTCTATGGAAATGCAAGGATTTTCTTTCGCTGATGTGGAGGAAATCGCAGCGGTGAATTCTTGAACCAATAAACTTGAGAAAGGATAAAAGTTCTTCCATGAAGAATATATCCACAGCTATCAAGGTAAGAAAAGACGTAGCTTAGCTAGCTAACCGTTAGCTACAACATATGAAGTACATAAACATCGTAATAAAGCCTAATGTAGTGTGCTAAATTATTTGGAATATTTGAGACAGACGTGGTATAAACTTTTAAATGATATTTTAATATTTTGATATGTGTTTGCCATTACAGTTTGTGAAAGAAAACATACTAGGTGTTAGTTATAAGTGCTATAATGCTTGATGTTCAAATTGTGCTTTACTTCTGCATAACTACAGGTCAAATATCGTCGAGGGACAGGTAGTTGTCAGAGCTAGATGCTTCAGGTCCAGAAGAAAAATGAGGAACCACAGACTGCAGGTTTGAAACAGTCAGGAAGCCAGTTGGCTCATGTTCATTAGAGTTCCTGTTCATTTATGACAGCTGAAGAACTATGACATACGATGGACAAATGTACTACTGAGAGCTTACAGTAACATCTTCCTGTTCAGTGGTTAGTTTGTCTGTGGTAGCAGCATAGTCTGTTTTGTTCTGCTGCTGTTTCAGCTCATCTTCAAACTACAATCTATTACTTGTTTAAAGCTAAATATGTTATAACAAGTATTATATGTATGTGCTAAAACAGTTATGTTTTAGATCTCACTGGATGACAGCAGGAGAAACTGAAGTCCCAACCACTTATCGCTCTTGTCCTACAGGTAGATGGTCTCTAAACTTTGGAGCTGGTACCATCCAGATGTGGTCCTGTGCCACAGGGCTCAGAAGTTTTACCAGTGCCCACCTGAGAAGTCCTGCGTAGCATCATTCTGCTCCACACTTCCCTGCTCTTCCTCTGATGCTGCAGTCTTCCCATGATTTGTGTCCACACTTCACATCTTCAGTCTCTGCAAGTGTCACTGGAAACGTCTTCTCAGAGGCCAGAACCAGGGAGCAGTCCAGATGTTCTGCAGGGGTGCAGCTTCTACAACCAAGGCTTACTGCTGTTTCCGTGTTGCAGAAGAAGTGTGGAGGAGGAGTGTGCTGACATGTTTTACTTCAACACCTTCATCCATGTGTTTATATCAATGCAGTAAGAATCATAAAATGTACAAATCACATCTTTTGTTCCTTCATATTTTTAATATTCAGTCTCGAGCTGTGAATCACTGTAAATATTGTAAATAGTTGTTACTCATGAAAAATACATAAATGTGCCAATTTATTTAAAATGAAATTGTATAATTTGGGAAAAATATCTATAATCCACTTCAATTTATAGTGTACAGTTATAAAATGTTAAATAGTTAAGGGCTTTTTTTTTTTACTAGATATTGTAAATTACACTTGTTTTTCTTTCAATACAACTGAATCAATCCACAAATTAAATAAAAACAGTACAGTATGCTGCTCAAGTGTGTTTTAATTGAAGAATGTTTAAAATAATTCAAAACCTTTAAATAACTAATTACATAACACTAGAACAATATGTAACAAGCTGGGTATGGATGTTATTTTTATTTTATAAACTTACTGCAACACCACCTCAGGACTTTCATCCAAGGACATAATTTATACACAGAAGACACTTGGGTTTGTTTACAAGTAAGCAGGAAACTGTTCCAAGATACAATATACATTTTATTAACACTAAGTTAAAAACCTATTCTAATGGAGGCAATAATGATTCTGAAATATTGAGCCAAGGCCGAGGCTTTCCAGTGTTCATTCAACTAAAAGACTAAAGTTTGGTTCAAGGT